TTTTTTTTTTGTGCTTAGTAATGCCACAGCGTTCAGAACACCGACAAAGAGCAATAACCGATGCCTCAAATCGTTAATACTTTCTAAGAGAGACATACGGTCTGCTGCATCTTTAGATATAAGTACTTTATAAATGCGTCTTTGAGACAAACATACATTAGAGACCTGTTATTGTCATACAACGATATACATAGTTTACACTACTGCTCTTTCGTAAAATCATTTTCTGGTTATTAAAGACTTTTCATGATTAACGTTGTATCTCATATTTTTCTCTCTATTATATACTTTTTAATCTAACACTTTCACCATCAGCTTTAAGGCCTGATGGGGAGGAGCCGGTCTGATTGATTCATCGAGATCTCTATACGGAATCATCGCTTCCACTTCAAAACCATGTTTGTAGCATACTTTCTGCGAATACATTCCCGTAGCATCAACTTTGATTACCTGCAAACATACAACAATATTGAACACTATATTTGTAGGGCATCTTTAATCGTACACGACATTTACATACACTTTGTACGAAGAACACTGCGTGCAAAAATACCTCTCGAGAAAGTAACGAGTGCATTGCAATTTTACATCTTGATAAATGAAAATCATCCCATGCATATTAATCGAAGAACATGCTGAAACAAAAATAAAATGTGAACTTCTTACCAAAACGACCACGCCTCCAAATGACAAATCGTGTTGCACATACATATATAAATGAATACATAGAATCTATCCTTTGATAGATTTATTAATTCGTTATTTTAAAATATTAAACTTAATATATAATTTATTTGTTTTTCATTTACATAAAAAAAGCATAAATTTCTGCAAATTATAATTCAAATTTGAAGGATTGCCGTTCTTTAAAATTAGTACAAGCTTCCAAGGTCAGAGGAATAATAAAGGTCATGGAATACACAATAGTACGGCTCTAAAAAAAATTTTCATCGAACTTAAACTGCATGCTTCAACATTTATCATACGTTTACAGAGTTACGCATCATTTTCTGAATGAGTTACTATAATTATGACGATATGACCGAAATGTAATTTGGGATTACCTTAAAACCAGCGGATTTTGCGATTTCTATACTGTCTGCCATAAGTATGTTCGCCAGACCTCTTCCGCGGAAATTCTCATCAACGCTGAGGATTCGGCATTCAAATAACTCGTCAACATTGTACTTGTAAAAAAGGTCTATTTTTTTGTTAACTTTGTAGAGAAGTCCAAAGATTATTTTGAATTTTTCATCATTCAATTCTGCGAGACGGCGTTCAGCTTCTTCGCGCTCCCCCTTCTTCAGAAGACCATTCAATGCCATACCAGCTATCTGATAGGACAGCACTTATGATCGACAATGAACTTAACGTTCAAGGTCCGTATATGTCACAGGAAAATATTCCCTCGTCAATGAAATAGTTATAACGCAAAGTAAATCCACAAGTAATCGTTTCTTTATTGTAAAAAGGAAAAGAGTACAAAATTCTTCTTCTCTAATTCAGCTTACCATTCCATTTTGATCCACCAGCATCCTCGAATATCCCTGCTTTAAAGTGAGTAAGCAGTGTCTTTCCAGCTCGAATTGGCTCTCTCCTTTCTGGCATAGCCCTACCGCGTGATTCAAGGGTTCGTCGGAGAAGAAATTCCATTTCAAGTGATTAATTGCATCGTCAAAACGATTCTCTGGAACATCCACGACCTTTAAATCATTGGACGACATCTTTGGGGTGGTCACGGCACAAATTTTCCGCGCACTGAAAGGATTTTCCACGCGCGCACTACCCTTAGTAGGGAGAGTTGACTCATATGGGAAAAGGTCCATATATTGATTGACCCAGTTCAAGAAATTTACTGGCTATAATGATTATGCATCCTTCTTAATTGTTCCTAATACAAAATTCGCGCTCTCCATACCTATAATAATAATGGAGCTTTTTCAATAGAGCTAGATAAGAAAATTATGAACATATTGGATTTATAGTCTTGGATATCAATTGAATACACTATTAGAAAGAAGTACGTATTTATTTTATGATGAAAATCAGTGATCTACTTATAAACGAAATTAATAAATAAATATTTTTTAATGTCATAAACGGGATAAAGTAATGGTAAATAAAAAATATAAACATAGAAATAAATATATATATGTACATATTTATTTTTCATAAATTTTTGATAGTTAATTCTATAACCTTCTATAACGTTATCACTGCGAATTTGCATAAAATTATATCAATATCAATATAACAATGTGAATATATTGACTGCGCCAACAGTTTCAACAAATATCAAATCAATGCAGCTGACGAAAAGCATCATTAACATCTTTCAATTATACGATTACAATATAATATACTATCCAATATACTATATCATACTGTAATTAAAAAATGTTAGTAATACTGTAAAATTATTATCTGCTTGTATAGCTGCTTAATAATACAATCTTTTGTGTAATATAGCTGAGTACTGTGAAATTAGTATTGTCCAAAGATTTTTATGGAAGGACTAAATCTATTCTCATACTTCATTGGATTCATTCTTTAATCGCATTCATCCAGAATTATAACATATTTTTTAATACTCCAGAGTGTGAAAACAACTTATGTACAGTGTTTAAAATAATATATCATCATCTCCTTCATCGAGCATATTTGCAGCTTCTACATCTCTGCCAGAAGCAATCATCTCTGCTCTAGCTGCTTCAAGCTGTGAAATAATTTAAATATTGCAAACAATATTTAATTAAAAAATATAAAAAATGGAATTATCTTTTACCTTAGCTTTTGCTTGTTTCTTTTTATCTTGAATCTTTTTTAATCGGTAGAACTCTTCTCTTTCTAATTCATCCAGCTCAGAAATGATATAAGCAAGAGTTTTCTCAATTCTTGGAATGATAACATGTTCAATGGCATTTACACGGCGGTTTGTGATTTTAATAACTTCATCCAAAGTCACAAAACTAGTTTGTAAAGATGCTAATTCCACTAATAATTTAATTGCTCTTTGATAATTCTTTTTCAATTTTGCTAATTGCTGGCCACCTCTTGCCAAACCTGCTAACTCGTATGTATCCGTGCCATCTTGATAGGATTCAAATACTGGAAGATTAACACCAGCAACATTATCTTTCTTAGATCTAATTTTAATTTGTGCTTTTGTTACATTCTGAAGAACCACTTGATTGAAATCTCCAGTTGCAAATTTAGCTTCGGCCAATGAAAACGCTGCCTCCTTCATTACTTCGCCCATAAGAGTTTTTGTCTAAATGGAAAGATAAATAAAAAATTATGGAAAAAAGAAAATTATCCACACAAATAAAAGTATTTTTGTATACCTCAATAATTTTACCCAGAATTAATCTAAAACGCATTTGCAATGCATCTGCTTTCTTTTTCAACAAACCATGACCTTTTTGCGCTCCATGTAAACGGGACTTCATTAACATTTGCGCTCTAAAAAAAAATAGATATAAAAAATGTAAATTATATTATTACATTTATAAACTTTATTAATCAATATAATGAAAGAAATAAACAATATGCACACTTGATGTCCTTATACAACAATGAAAGATTGCGATCATGATAACGAAATAATTATATATCAATGATACAAATATATATTTAAAAATATAATTTAATCATTTTAAACAAATAGAAATAAGGTTACACCCATCTAATGACGAATGATAACAGTCTCAGAATGAAGAATAGTAAAGAGGTATTAAATAAAATCTATTAAAAAGTAATATAAAATTGTATAATTTAAAAGGACTTACCCCCGAGAAGGGAAAATTGGGAGTTTATCTTTTCCAGACATAGTTATAAGAAATATCAAGCAGACAAGAATGAAACTGATCAGCTGACTCGTGAGACCGGAAGTGTCAAACTGTATAGTGTAAGAAAATTAGCGCGTTAGCGCGTAATTTTAAAAATGGTAATAAAATGGTGGGAAAAATTTTGTTAAATTTTTTTGATATACTGACATATATAAGACAATTGAGAAACAAAATGTCGCTACAGTAACATCATTGCGCGAATTTGAAAATTTATATGTATAATTAAAACTTATAAAATCAAATTAAAATAACAATTAAAGCAAAGAATGAAATAGGGAGAATCGAAAACAAAAATCTTCAATGGCACACAAGTACAATATTTCCTACTTGTTTGAAGAAATGAAAAATAGTTTTGTACAATGATTAATAAAAGAAAATCGTTGTTTCCGTATTAGTGACAGAAATCAAATAATACATTAGACAAGATAAACTGTCAATCTACATAGCATACGTAGAAGTTGCTGGAAATTTGATGCAGTAAGGAGAGCCTCTGAAGATATTCTTATGAGAATGAATATTAATCGTCTTTAGATATAGGTTTGTAGGTACATTCAACATATAAACAAAAAATAAACACTAAATAGGAAATCTCTATTCCAGGCCTACTTATATATTTCTTTTGATAAATTACACTATTAATTTTGTGCAAAAGAAAATGATTCATACATCAGATATTTCTAAAGATTTTATATTAAATAAAGCAGTTCGTGATGCTACAAATATTTTATTAAGACCATACAGGCCAGTGGAATCAACTCCAACTTATTATGAAAGTAAATTTGAAATAATCAATCACATTAAAGACAAATGGATGTCACATTCACAAGATTTTTTATTAAGAATGGCAACAATTGCTTGGGACTTTTTAAATATTTTAAACATGTTTCAAAATAATCTGGTAAATCAAAGTATAGAAAAAGATACTTCAAATAACGATATTTAAATGATAAAATGAATGTATTTATAATGCACCTTCTATTGCTAATGTGAATTGACAGCTTATGTAACAAGGAAGAATTAAGTATATTACTGTAATGCAATTAATATAAGTATTTTTAATAAAAATAAGTATTTAATAAGTATTTTAATAAAAATATACAAAGCTATTTTGTACAATATTCTATAAGGACCATTGTCCAGGCTTCAACACTTGTCTTATATTCATATTTATTCTAGCTTCAGAAATGTAAGTTTTTGCTTTATTCCAATCATCTTGATTCCATATACAGTATTGATTATTGACACTTGTTTCTTTGTTATCCCATGGTGCATTGGTAGCTGGTAAAATTTTTGGTATACCATGATACCTTAAACGGGACTTTCCTGACATCACTATTATATCTCCATTTTGTAGAAACATGGCATTAGCTGCATCGTCTTGTGTAAGTCCTCCAATTAAAAATACAGCAGTTTGACCAAAACTTATAGAGAATAAGGGTGCTTCCACATTAACTTCAGAATGATCAGTATGACCTGATAAAGTTGAATTCATTCTGTAATAATTAATAATTGCTGCCTCAGCTTTAAAATCCTTAAAACCCAATGTTTGTGCTAAAAATGAAGTCAGCAAAGATAATTCAGTAGGCATTTTTGTCTTGGATGATTCAGAATATAATTTTGTATCCCAATTGTGGTGATAACCAAATGTTACCCATCTTAATTTTGGTAATAATTCTTCATTTTTATTAGAGTTTCTGCAATTAATGTAATAAATATATATATGGTAAATATACTTTTTTTTTATATTATTATACTGTATCTTACCCAAAACATTTATCCCACCAATCTTCATCATCATTTAAAATGTTATGAGCATCTAAGTTTGATTTATGTGGCTTTCTGGAGTACTCTTTTAAGCATTTTATAATCCAATATCGTTGCCCATATATTGTAAATGGATTTTTTATGAAAATAAGACCTGGTATATTTCGAAATTCGAAGACTTTCCAATCTTTCACTGGTCTTAAACCTAATTCATGATCACATTGTTCATTAAGTAACTTCCCTCTAAAATCAATAACCTGAAAAGCATTTATGTACAGAATTTATATACATAAAGCATGATGATTTTCGCAATTTATTACGTACTTCGTTATAATCGGGCTTATCTAAATCAATTACATCTTTTAAATCGGGACAAGGATTTCGACTCTTGTAATATTTAAAACTATTTCTGAACATTACATCGAATCATGAGCGCTGCCATGTTTGTTAATTCGCACATACACCGTTAAGCGGCGCTGCATTCGTCTCTTGGATCTCTGTAATTTGAAAGTAGATTTTAACGCAGATTCCTAAGTGAGATAGTATTAAATACTTCAGATGTTTGAATAAGAATGTCATTTTGACCCGGTTCGCAATGATGACAATTGAAAGTATAGATTCTCCTATTCTAA